TCTCCCTGTGAAGCGAGAACAGACACGGGTCTGAGATTTCTGCGTTGGCTGCTGGATGGTTAACTCGGATACATACAGCAGCAAGCAAAGAAGATTTTCTGTTTCGGTGGTTTTTTTGAATGCAAAGTGAAGATTTATCATGTATTTTCTCTGGCTTGCGATTCACGGGGTCTTTGGAAAAATACCGGTGACTCACAGGTTTGCTAACAGTCGATAAGCTTTCTGAGGCCACCCTGTGCTTTACCTGCTTGTATCGCTTCTCGAGGCTTCCCCACTGCTGTGCGATCCCCTTAAACTTCATTCCCTGCCCTGCTGCTGCTTTGAACCACACAGACTTGTGTCCCTGAGGCCGCTGCCACTTGCACCTCTCTTCCTGCTGCTCCCTTTTCCTGCGAAGCCCCCTTGCAGAAACCAGCTGCAGGCAGATGTTGCCTCATCTGCTGCCGTCCAGACGGGGATGAACACCATTGCTGCTTGTTTCTCGGCAGCAGAACCTGCACCCAGTGAGTGCTGGAGGCACACCCACACATCCGTGCCTTGCTGTGGGAGCTGGGCTGGGAGGGTGTCCACAATCCAGCTCTGCTCCTGGCTTCTTCCCGCAGAAGTGGGATCTGCTTCTCCCCTGGGCACAGATGAAAAGCAGGGTGAGGCATCACAGGGATGGCAGTAAAAGATGAGCCTGCACCGTGGAGCTGTTTGCCTTCTGGGGCTGTGAGCTTTTTGGGATACGTGTTGTCCCCCTGTGCCTGTCACACCCAGCTGGGTGGCTGCAAGCTGTTACAGGGAATGGATATGGGTGTTTTGTTTATTTATGTATTTTTGAATTTTGCAGCCCTTGCTTGTGATAAGGGGCTGTTTCAGAGGAGACCCATGCTGCCTTCACCCTCCTCCCCCTGCGGAGACATGTCTGCTCTTGCCCCAGTCCAGGAGCGTGTTGTGGTGGATAATTGCTCCTTCTGGCTTGTAGTATCTCTCATTTTCCTGAATCCAGCTGAAACCTTTGCTGAGTTTTTAAGGTCAGGTTGCTAAGTTACACCTCCTTGGAGGAGCAGGCTGAGCAGTGTGTTAGAGGCAAGAGCAGCCTCTGATGGGAAGATCTGGGAGTGGTGTCCCTTTGCAGTAACTAGGCTCTCCTGGCCCCTATCCCAGCCATCCTCCATCAGTCCTGGGCTGAACCAGTGCCCCATTTAGCTGTTTTTCCCGAAACTTCAGCTTTACAAGCTTCCTTTGCTCAACACGTTTAGCGAGATGATTCACTGACCAGCCATCCACAACTACCTGTGAAATGCCCCACGGTCCTGCAGGAGGAGGAGCAGCCGTTTGGCTTCTCCATCTTTCTTTTTTGAATCCTTGTTTGCTTATTTTGGTTGTGAGCTCTTTGGGGTATGAGTTGTCCCCCTCAGAGCTTGGAAAGGGCCTTGCATGTCAGCATGTATGACTGTCACTAGGCCCCTGCTCTGGAGGAGGCAAGCAAGGTCCAGAGCAGCTGGTGCCACTCCTCTGCCCTTCTCCCTCTTCTTTATCCTTGCTCTGTGGCTTTAACCTTCTCTCCTTCCCATTTTCTGTGAGCAGCCTGGCTCGGGGGGAACTGGGGGAGCTGGATTAGCACAGTGGGTTTGTCTGAGAACTGCTGTAATGGGGCAAAGGCTTCCCTCTTCCCAGGAACAGGACCTCTCTGGAGGGTCACCTTCCTCAGGGATTTCCACATGTGCAGGAGGTTTTCTTGCTCAGTTCCCTGGGAAATTGAATAAATTGGTGAGGTAATAAACCCAATAATGGATCCTCTTCGGATTGTAAGAGTAGTGGGTTTAGGGTGAATTTTTCCCTCCTGCTTGCTCTCTAGTTGTGTTGCTGTGGCTGGTGCTCTCTCTCCTTGGTTTAACTTGCATTAAGCTTTCCTCTGTCCCTCCCTGCTCCTTTAACTCTTCTCAGCCCTTCCCTTCTCTCTCCTTGGAGTGATGGAGTCTGGTAAGGGCATCACCATGGGGAAGGCACCAGACACAGCACATCATGCGAGATATGCCTTCCCCTTTTTTTTCACCTTTTTGTCACAGTGGCTTTTTTTTTTTTTGTTAGCCTGTTTGCTTTCAATGAAAGCCTGGAGAAGCAGCACCCGTGTCCCCCAAGGATCACAGGGATGCTGGAGCAGTCAGCCTTGCTCGCACCCTGCCTGGAATGACCAGCTTGTGCCCTGTGGCTGGTGGCAGGGGACCTGGCCCTGGTGACTGTTCTCACATTTCCCCATCTGGCTGCGGACTGGGAGTGATGGAGCTGTCACTGGGCTCCTGCCTGAGCTCTTGCATGCAGTCAGAAGGATTTTTCCACCCTTGTCGAGACTTGATTATGTGCTTTCCTTTCTACCAGAACACCAAATGGCAGCTAAATATAGGCTGTAATGGCGTTGATTATGACTTTTCTAATTGAGCTTTACACTCCATCGGGGATCTTTACTAATGGGATGTGGCATCCTTGATGTAGCACCTGGCCACAGAGCCTGTTTGGGAAGCATGTGCAGACACGGTGTGACGTCCTGGTGGCATCGGATCCCAGCTGACAGTGGCTGCTGAGGCCTCTGGAGTTGTGGACGGGATGGTAGATCCAGGGAGCTGAAACGTGCTTGGGTATTTGAGTTGGATTTCAGATCATGACGGTTTCTGATTGCTTTGCTCTTTCCAATATAAAGCATTGCGACTTAAAAATTGCTCTCCTAAGGGTGTGAATTCTTCCCTTTTTAACCCCATGTGATTTGTGTGATGGGTGGCACTGTAGGCACAAAGGCGTGTTGGCACTTAAAAGGCTAATGCCGTTCTGCAGGTGATGGAACTATTCGCAGGGATGTTTAAAAGCGCCGAGATTTACATGCAAGAAAATAATGAATGTTTTGAACTCCGGCAGAGCCTAGGACTCATTTACACAGCACAGCAATGTGTTAACTTATATCCCTGTTGTCTTGTGCCAGCAAAATATGTTACAATGAGAAGTACAGACATTTCACCAAAATAGAAACAACTCAAGATGCTAATTCTGGCTTTGTATCTCCTGTCATAGCTTGTTTTCATGTTGATGCGAGTGAAGCGTGGGGCTTGGGACAGGCAGGATGGTGCTGTGCCGCCACGGTGGTTCCTCTCCAGGGCCGGGCAGTGCTGTCCCTGCAGCCGACAGCGAGTGTTCGACAAAGGCTCTGGAGCAGAGCAACATCCCCTGCGAATCAAGGGTGGGCGCAGTTAATGCAGAAATGAATTTGTGAACCTAAATGTTGAAATGCTGTCACCGTCCCTGCTCCAATGGACGTGTCTTCTTGGGTCTGGGTAAGAGACCCTGGAGTGAGCGCAGGGGCTTTCCAGCTCCCCACAGCTGCAGCTCCTGCCCACCGCCCCCACGCTACCCGTGTCCATCGCCATGTGCCCGATGGATCATCATCCCACAGGAGCCCTGCATGGCTCCTTAGCTCTACCCCAGCCCCTGCGTCGCTGCTCGCCTGTGAATTGCGTCAGACGCCGACACCGTTTCAGAGCTGCCGGCACATTTGTAAAGGGAGCGATGAAATACAATCATAATGCACATAGCAGCGACAGGCAGCTGCTGAGGGTCAGGAGCCGTTGCAAGATAGGCTCTCCCTGCGTGACCTTGAGGACCAGCTTAGTGGAAATAGGATAAAATTTAGTGCTGTAGCGTGCAGGGAGGCACAGCGCTTGCCTCGCACCAAGAGCTCTGCTCTGTGTGATGCTCTGGGATGGGTCGAGGATGCCGGGTCCGAGCTGGAAGGGAAGGCAAGCAATGAGTGTGGAAGCAACTGTGGGAAATGAAAGCTCATATTGTGAGAGGAGGCTGAAAAAACTTGCCTTAATCAGCCTAGAAAAATGCAGGCCAAAAGGGGCTATGACTGCAGTGTAATGGAAATTAATCACGGGAGCAAACACAGGAGAGAGGGAATAATTATTTAAGCTAAATGTTAATATTGACACAAGCACAAATGAGCATCCACCAGCCAATAATTGAATTTCGGATGGAAATTTGAAAGTTTAGTACCGTTCAGGGTGAGATTCTGAAGAGCCCTGTGTGAGGAAGGGGCTCTTTGCCCAGGCCCCCTCGGGGTGTGCTGGGGTGCTTGGTCGGGCTCGGGTGCGGGTTCTGTGACAGGGGGGCATAAACTTGGGGTGATTTCCCTCCACCTCCCCACATCTTCTCACACCATGACAGTGCTAGGCATCCATTTGGTTTTGTCACATTTCTGGGATCTTCTCATCGTGGCCCCGGGTCAGTGTCACCCCCAAGGATGGCAGCTGAGGGCCGTATCTCCAGGGGTGGCTGTGGGGGTGAAGCAGGAGAAGGGGAACCTGCTCCCGTGTCCCACGGCAAAGCTTGGCATGCTCTGGGTTTCAGAGGAGGTGGCAGCTTATGGTCACACTGGTAGCCTGTTGACGTATGTCTTGGTCACCCCTTTTGAGCCCCATCATCAGATTTTGGTTGAGTTTTGTCCCCACAGAGATGTTAAACATGTGTTTCTGCATGTTTCCTGAGCCCTCTGTGACCTGTGCAGTGCCTGCTGCACGAGCCTATCTTGCTATAGTCTGGACCTTCCCTGTAGTTCATGTCCCTGGGACCCTGGAGTGACCTGATTTTCATTGCAAAAAAACATTCTGATGTCTCAGGTGATGCCAAGTGGGGATTTTATTCACAGGCAATTTGTATCACTTCAGTCTTGAACCATCTTGTTTGTTCATTTGCTTAATTCTGATTATCTGTGACTTTTGAGTGCTGGATTGCTTCGTGTGCTGCTTATGCTGATTGTGCCTTTTGCAGCTCAAGATTCAAACGCTATTTAAAACGCCCTGGCAAAGGGAAAAGCCTTTACTGAGATAGCAGCAGGTTTGCAAACAGAGGGTGCAGTCCAGTGTTGAGAAGGACCCTGTGCTCTCAGGCAGTTCCAGAAGGGTCCTGGCCTGAGGACGCAATCCCACATACTGAAGTGGGCACACCCTGTGTTTTCTTCCCTCAAGGTCTCTGGACAGAAAGCTGCAGCGACCGCTCCTGGGGAAGTCCCGAACGCTGCCCAGCATCCCGCAGTCACCGGTCCTGAGCAGGCTTCCCCTCCTCGACCCCACCACGTACAGGGAGGAGATGCCGGAGCAGAAGCCCTACAAGAAGCACTCGGCCTCCGAGCGCCAGAAAGGCTGCACGGTCCCATCTACCGGTGAGTGTCCCAGCGCTGGGGGCGAGCTCCTACCCCTTCCTGCCAGGGGCTGTGAAAACCTAGTGGATCTTTCCTGCTCTTGCAGGAAACAACAAAATAAATCCAACTCTTGGCAGGGTTGTCCTGCTCTAAAACCAGCCCTTCTTGATGAGGGTTGGGGCTTTTTTTGACCCTCTCTGAGCTTTTTTTTGAGCTTGTTACTTAAACCTCCCCATCTTTTGTATTTTATGGTGATGAAGAAACAGAACTGGCTCATCAAAGCCATCTAGCACAGGGAGGTGATGCTTGGAGCCTTCGGCCTCTGAGTGAGCTGCAGCTCCTGGCCACAGGTGCTGGGGTGAGCTCTGCCTCAGTGGCTCTGTGGCCTCTGCAACAGGCCAAAATTCTTCTTTTCTGTGGCATGAAGTGGCTTCAGGGCATGTGTTGCTGGTCTATGTTGGGGACTGCTGCAGAGCACGGCACCTCTGTGCTCTTCATAGAATCATAGAATGCCTTGGGTTGGAAGGAGCTGTTAAAGGTCCTGGCCTGGGGTGGGGGTTTGGTGTAACAGATGTTTCTCAGCCTGATGGTGTGTGTTGGCTTTCAGGTCAGCTGAGGGTTTTCATCATGATGTTCTACTCCTGTGCTGATCCCAGTGAAATACTAATATGGTTGGGCCAGCTGCTCTGCACAAGTTTATTGGCAAAACTGATGATGGCCAAAGCGTTTCAGTGCTTTTTGGTGCCAGTGGAATCATGCTGGGGCCATAAAACTGATGGGAAAAGGGATTATTAGCACTGAAACAAAGATAAGGCCTGCAAGCCAGTGCTGACAATCCAGTGCTAAATAAAATCCTTGTAAAACAGCTCCCGTTAAACAGCACTCTTGGATTTTTTGTATTTTTATTTTAATTCGAACCTGCTTGTAGTCAGATCACTGTGAGCTACCCAGCAGAGCAACTGTCCAAACCCCAGATTAATTTTAAGGCTCTGCAGACTGTGTTTTGTTTCCTGGTGCTGCTAATTCTCTTAAAAGTCAGGCACAGAGAGAGGATCTTGGCCGTCGCTGAGCCTGTCCTGCTGCTCCTGGGTGTGCTGCAGCACCAGAGGGACTGCTCTCGGCTGCGTGTGGGACCCGGCTTTTTCCTTCCAGCCCACCAGATTGTTAAAGCGGGTCTTGGTACGGGAAGGAAGACTGTCCAGATTCTCCCACGTTCTTTTCCTGGCTCCTTGGTACTCAGTTAGGAACTGCTAATTAGCTGCTCATTAAGGCTGTCAGGTTGCTATCCTGGAGAGGGGGGGAAAAAAGGAATTGTGCTGCTAGTAGGGTGTGATGTCTGGATGGCAGGAGAAGAGTGGAGCAGCACGTGGTGGAGGAGGTTAACGAGCCCCGGTGTGCTGATGAGGAAAGCAGAATTCTCACGAGTTATTTATGAATGAGAGCTGAGCTGCAGGTGTTGGGAGGGAAGGAAGATCCTTTCCTTAAAGAACTTGTGAATTTGCTTTGAGCAGGTGCCGCTCCTCCCCGTTTGAGGAGGGGACACATGTGGCTGGCTGCAGCAGGAGACGTGACCAAAACTGCTTTGGGGAGAGGCTTGTCCACAGGGACGCCAAGGCTTTTGGCAGGAGCAGGGCTGTTTGTGGCAGAGGTGGTAAGCTCATCTTCGGGGAGAGTTCACTGCTCTGCAGGGAAGAAACCACACGCTGGCTCGTTGCTGTCCTGGGGCTATGAGCGGAAGGGTCACCAAGCAAGGTGGGAGAAGCTGTCATCTCTGGTGTGAATGAGATGCGACATCCTTATCTGGCCCCCCGGGAACATGTTCCTCAGTCTTTTGCTTTGTGTCCAGCATGGTATCACAGGAGGAAGGGAGTGCCTTGTCATTCTGAGAGGTCGCAGGAGATTGTGCTGCTGTGGCACCACAGCTCCTATACAGGTCCTCGTGTGGGCACTGAGGTGCCTGGTGAAGGAACCAGTTCAGGCTTGATGGGGCTCAGAGCAACCTGATCTAGTTAAAGATGTCCCTGCTCACTGCGGGGGGTTGGACCAGATGACCTTTAAAGGACCCTTCCAGCCCAACATATTCTGTGATTCTATGAACCGAGGTCCTGAGGATGGATGGAAAGAGCTGAGCCTGTAACTGATGAGCCTGCCAGTTGCTCTCCTTCTGTCAAAACCAGGCTACCTTCTCATTTAGCGAGCCAGGTAACTGACTGGGCTGGGTTCCTGTTGACCTGGTTTTGTTATTTCCCTTCAGGTAACCCACAGGAAGTCCTGGGGTGAGCTGGGACAGGCTCCAACGTCTCCATCCTTCACCCCTTAACCTGGAGCAACGCTCCTGGATTAACCCCAAACTTCTGAGAGCCATGAGCCTGGGGTGAAATTAGGGGGATACAAGAGCAAATGGGGCTTGGTTGAGCAGGAGCAACATGTGCCTTGTCCGAACCATTATCTGTTTGGTGTCACATGATTTAATTGTATGGTGAAAATCGGGAACAATCTCCTTCAGCACGTGGAAAAGCTTTTTGGGGTGGACAAGGTCCTGGCTCCTCATAACCAAGGAGGAGGGACTATAATCCTTCTGCCTGAGCAGAGGAGAAGTTTGGAGAGGATCCCCTCTCGGGCAGGCTAGCTATGCCTCTGGTCCAACTCCAGGGCTGCACTGGAGGATGCAGCCACCTGTAGCCCCTTGGAGAGAGATAAGAGACCAAGAGCAGTGAAATCCTTGGTGAACCTGGGATCAGTGATATCCAAAGTGACCCCGTTGGTTGATGGGGCTTGAAACCCAGCTTCTTGTCATTAGGAGGGGACAGTCTCGGGGACAAGAGAGTGGTGTGAGTGGTGGCTGAGCCATCGCGGATGAGCACGGGGGCACTGAGGCTGGTACCTCCTCGCACGTGTGACTTCCCTGCTTATCGGGCGGGTCTCCTCCTCCTCCGAGCTCAGTGCCTGCGTCGCGATGTTTCCTGCCGCGTCCCTGAAGCGATGCTATCTTGCGGTGGCAGTCTGGATCTGGGCTCCGATTGACGTGTTTGTGCCTTGAATAATCACAGCTTTCAAACAGCAGTTCCTGTGTTGTGTGAGTTGACATTTGGAGAGGAGCAGCAGTAGCTTATTAAGTTGAAAGTAGGGGAGGAAAGAAAAGGAAAAAAAAAAAAGGAATAGAAAGATGTGATGCTGGGAAGTGCTGTGCTCCAGGTTGCCTCTTTGTTTGCAGTTTTTGAACTCTGCCTTCCGCTTCTTCCCTCTTGTCCTCTTGATTCAGTACCTTCAGATCCACTGCACGCAGTGAACTGTGTCTACACCTTAAAAACCTCGAGATTCTTGGCGAAGAGACATTTTTGTTGAGACACAGAAGATGGAGTGACCGGTCACTGCTCTGAGGCTGCAGTGTCCAGCTGTCCCTCAGCACACACAAAATAAACCCCGCAGCCTTGCTGGGTAAGCCAGCCTTCACTCACTTTGTGTATGGCTTTTACCTAAAGGTCTCTATTTGCTTTAAATTCGGGAAGTATTTTGCTCCTCAGTGCTGGTGTAGCAGGGTCATGGTCATTCATGCCTGAAGATGCTCTTTTTTTCCGAAACTGGAGACAAATGATCTTGCCCTGAGGAGAGGCTGTGGGAGGGGGAGAGTTTCTGAAGGCGATCGTGTGAGATGCCCTCTTGGGCTGCAATAATTGATCATTTTTACAAGAATTGAGTAAGAGGATTTTACTGTTTACTGGTTACAGCTATCGAGAAGTGATTTTGGTGGGAGGCAGGGCTGCCTCCAGATGAAAAGATGAGACTGGCAGCACAAAGCACATGGCATCTGTGCTGCTCAGAAAAGGGCAGAGCGGTGATCTTACGGAGACGTTTCCTATTGTGTTTTGTTATTTTTCCCTTTTGTTGCATTGAGGTATGGTCAGTCCCTACCCCGGGAGCGCCAGCTCTCCGTGATGCCAAATGTCCTCCTCTCCCACCGCTGCCTTCTCGGTGTCAGGGAAGTTTTGTCTCTGGGCACTCCAGCCCTGCATCAGCTGATGCTGCTGTGTGCAGCTTGAGGAGACCTGAGGTCTGGTTTCTGTCCTCGGTTTGGCTGTTGATTTTGCTCTTGGTTCTGTCAGAAAAAGTTTTCTGGGAGGAGGAGATGGCAGTAAATCCTCTTGTGATTTGCAACATCTGTGGTCCCTCAGTTTCCCCAGGATTTATTATTGCTAATAAGTACAGAGCATGTGAATCCCTGCAGGAGAGAGGTTTGATACAGGTGTGTAGAATTACTGCCAGGAGCAAGAGCTGTGTGTGGTTCAGCTTTGTATCCCTTTAAAACATTTTAATGTGGAATGTCTTATTGGACTTAGAGTGATGAAGAATGAAGGAAATTTTTTATTTCTTTATAAATGACCCTTTTAAATGGGATAACCCTATTAGAGTTAATAGCAGTAATTTTTAAAGCAGTAGGGCTTTGGTCTACTGGTTACGCTAAGCAATAATATTTATATTTCAGTAGTTCCTGGAGGCCACAGCTCTGGCCAAATCTTCATCGTGCTCAATTGTATTTGACAAATTCCTGCCAGGCAGATATTAGGGGCTGTGGGTACAGGAGGCTGGGCAGGGTGGGAGCAGAGGCAGGGGAGTACACAGGGGCTTGTGGCAGGGATGTCCCCTCTGATGCCCTCTGAGGAGGGATTTCTGCAGTACCTGTACCCCACGGTGTGCTGCTGGGTTTGAGATGTGCAGAGCAGGTCTAGGCTGTCCCCTTGTGCATCCCCACTGATGGGCAGGAGGGGTAGGACGTGGCCTGAACATCCAACATCAGCGCTGTGGGCTTGGGGAAGAGTGGCTGGAAAGCTGCCTGGCAGAAAAGGACCTGATGGTGCTGGCGGACACCCGGCTGAACACGAGCCAGCAGTGTGCCCAGGTGGCCAAAAAGCCAGCGGCATCTTGGCCTGGATCAAAACGAGCATGGCCAGCAGGACCAGGGCAGGGATTGTCCCCCTGGGATCCGCACTGCTGAGGCCACTCTGTGTTCAGTTTTGGGGCCCTCATTACAAGAGGGACATTAAGGTGCTGGAGTGGGTCCAGAGGAGGGCAACAAAGCTGGGGAAGGGTCTGGAGAACAAGTCTGATGAGGAGCAGCTGAGGAACCTGGGGTTGCTCAGCCTGGAGAAGAGGAGGCTGAGGGGAGACCCCCTTGCTCTCTGCAGCTCCCTGACAGGAGATTGTAGCGAGGTGGGGTCAGTCTCTTCTTCAAAGTGATGGAACAAGAGGAAATGGGCTCAAGTTGCTCCAGGGGAGGTTTAGATTGGAAGTTAGGAAAAATGTCTTCGCAGAAAGGGTTGTCAAGTACTGGAACAGGCTGCCTGGGGCAGTGGTGGAGTCACCATCCCTGGAGGGATTATAAAAATGTATAAACATGTTGCTTCAGGACATGGTTTAGTTGTCATGGTAGCATTGGGTTGACAGTCGGACTTGATGATCTTGGAGGTCTTTTCCAACCTTAATGATTCTGTGATTCTGTGGAACATGGCTCTGATGGAGTGGCATGTCCTTCTGCTCCCCAGGGGAGGCCTGGCGCCTGGAGGACGACTGCACAGACCCCCCCGGGGACCCCCAGCTCAGCACGGCGGTGGAGGATGCCCCATTCAGCTACTTCCGCACCCGCTCCTTCTACATGAGGAAGAGCCTGTCGGTTGACAACCACCTGGGCTCCCTCAGCTACGCTGTCCACCCGGCGGAGACAAAGGCCGAGCGTGTCAAGACCAAGCTGCGGCGGCAGTTTGTGAGTATCGGGGTGCCTGGCCTCACTGCATTCACACGTGCGACTTCCCAAAAACATGTTGGAGAGCTATTTTTATGCAGAGCATTGTTGAAACAGCAGAAAAAGGCTGCTCCAGCCTTGTGGAGCAGATGGTGGCAGCGGCTTGAGTTTGCCTACATCGTGGCTGTCGCTGTTGCTCATCTGGGCGATGCGTGGGGCGAGCGCCTCGTCTCTGGGTGCTGCTTGCCGAAGTGTGAAACGAGATTGAGAGTAGGAAATGAGTTTTCCAGTCCTCTGCCTCACGTGTGTGAGCGACTGGGTCTTTTCCAGGGGCTGCACATGGACACAGGGAGAGGCTGTGGGGACCAGCTGCCCAGCACTGAGTTGCTGAGGCTGATCCATTTTTAATGGGCTTTGCCTCTTCTTTTTCCCAGAGACACCTGATACAGGGATTGTTATGGCCTTCCTCCTGCCTCGTTACCGGCCTTGAGGTTGTAATGAGGGCTTGGGTTTCCTGGTGCTGAAAAGCGCTCGGGGTTGGTTGGAAATAGGTGAGAGCGGCAGGAGAGCGGCAGGACAATGGGAGCAGAGCAGGGGGAGTGGGCACTCACGCGACCCAAAGTGCCACCGAGAGCTGCTGGCCAAGGCAGAGGTGCTCATTCTGCCTAAGGCTTTGGACAGATGCATCTTTTGAGACCCCTTGTCCCTGAAGTTGCTGCCTTTTCTCTAGTCCAGAGGAGGGGCTGAGCCCCCTGCCCAGTTGCACAGACTGGTGTTGCTTCTGGTGTCCCTGGGGGAGCCGTGGTGCTGCCGTACACCGTGGTTTTGGGGGCTCATCCTCTCTGCTTGTGCTTGGCGGGTTTGGGGGAGCGGGTCGTGACTGCCAGTGTCACCCGGGAACCATCTCTGCGGGAGCTGCTGCCTCAGGCTCGAGAAGCAGGTGAAAGCCGCATGGATGGAGACCATCAGAAGCGGGATGGCGCATCTGAGGAATGACTGAAACATGTTGGAGGTGTTTAAGATGAGGCGATCCTGCTGTGGGGTAAGGCACGTGTGTCTGCTTTCTTTGATTTCAGTCCCGACCTGCAGCCCCAACCTGCCTCCGGGAGAGCAGGAGGGAGAGGTTGCTGAGGTGTTGGGGCTCACTCCTCTTTCAGAGATCATCTTTTGGTATCTTTGTGGGACCTGCAACTCATGGCCTCACTTCTGTGGCAGAGATGGGCACAAAAGGTGTGGAATGGCTTGAG